TTACTACTAGTAAGGCACCTGTTACTACTAGTAAGGCACTTGTTTCTGCTAGCTTCTTGTTACTACTAGTATGGCACCTGTTACTACTAGTAAGGCACTTTTTCTACTAGCTTCTTGTTACTACTAGTAAGGCACCTGTTACTACTAGTAAGGCACTTGTTTCTACTAGCTTCTTGTTACTACTAGTAAGGCACTTGTTACTAGTAGCGATGCACTTGTTACTAGTAGCTACGAATGACAAGGAATACGCAGTAAGTCCACTCCAAATTCGCGCTACCGCTTTGGCATTTGAGTTGGAAGTCGTTGCACCACACAAACTTGAAAACTTTTAAAAAGGCTGTCCTTGCCTTTCTTTGAAAAACGCCTGGAGAGTGTGACTCAAAGATTCTGAGGACCAGAGGTCAAGGTCCATGGAATGATCTCTTCACCAGCCAGGGCCCCTCTTCAGCCCCGGCTCCACGGACAACAGAGTGGCCCAGTCATCGATGTCTACGGTGCCGCAAAGACTCTAAGAACATGGTTGTGGCCTCACATTTCTTCAGAATGCTTCCTTCCTTCCTGCCTTCCTTCCTGCCTTCCTTCCTCTCTTTCTGTCTTTCTTGTTTTCTTTCTTGCTTTCTTTTTTTGCCTTCTTTCTTTCTTGCGTTGGTTCCTTTCTTTCTTGCTTTCGTTCTTCCTTTCTTTCTTCCTTTCGTTGTTTTTCTTTCTTGCTTTCTTTCTTTGTTTATTTATCGTTCTCTCTTTCTTTCTTTTCTCTCTTTTTCTCTCTTTCGTTCTTCCTCTCTCTTCCTCTGTCCCTCTCTCTTCTCTCCCTCTCTCTCTCCCTCTCTCTCTCTCTCTCCCTCTCTCTCTCTCTCTCTCTGCGGCCTGCTCGGTGGAAACAGTGGCACCACACAAACACTAGCGACTAGTGAACTAGCGAATTGACCTTTTTGAAAATGTGCGCCTTTGTCTTTCTCTCTTTCTCTCTCTTCCTCCGTTCCTCTCTCTCTCTCTCTGCAAGGGTTCCCAAGCTCCCGCTTGCAGGACTACTTGCTAGCCGTGGGCCGTGGGTCCCTCATTTCCCCTTACAGTATATACCTAAGCTGGCAAAGTAAGAGTTCCCCAGGTCCTGCCTCCCTATGAGGAAGTTTGCAATATTTGGGCCATGTACGCTGCCGCCTGCACTTTATGTTCAGAACCTTCTTGTCTGCTTGCAAATGTGAGTGGGCAGCGCAACCGCTTGAATATTAAGAAGCTGGAAAAGAGATAGACAGAATATGTACATTCTGGAGCATCTCAGGTTTGGCGATTCGGCAAACATAAAGTATTTCTCTGGGTTCAATCTTCAGCAAATGAGCTGGGCCTCCAGTCTGATGCCGCGAATTACACAAAGAACCACTGAGAAACACTGGTGCTTGGTCCTTGCAGCCAGAGTTCGTTCGGGCCAACGAGCGAAGGCAGTCTCTAAAGTCGCACAAGTAAATCCCCAGTACATGTGTCTGAAGATATCAGCCATAGACTGGAAGGTTAATGCGAGCATCTTTGATTCTTTTCTGTGAATGCAGCAGCGTTGCTTCGCATCTTGCAAGAGACGCAAAAAACAACACCTGGGTCTTGGTCCTGGTTCATGATTCATTACTGGGTGACCACTCACATGCTATTGTATTCAACCAAGGTATTGGTGATGGAAGTTTACTCAGCTGAACAAAGGGTTTCCGATGATGGTTCCCAGAGTGATGGTTCCATCTATACTACCGATTGGCTTTATCGTTTGTTTGGCAGTTGAACACTGCACGGATGTGAACTGTGCTGGAGCCTGCACCCCCGCCACATGCTCCTGGGCAAAAAATAGTCATCCGGCAAAGCCTCAGACAAGCAAAACAAAAAGCAAACGCACTCTCTTCCTTTTTTCTGCCGAATTGCATGCCAAAGGCCACAGTAAAATGATCTATATACAAATACATATGTATATATATATATACGTAATTACGTAAATACTATATAGTATGGGGTCTTGTAGTTCAACCATGTCCAACAAGCATCGAAATTCAGGCAAGCTCAAGTTCAAGTTAGCAGTCTTGACATGTCTTGACGGATTCCCAGCCAGCATCTCGTACGGCGTCAAATTCTGAATGTGCGTCATCAGAAGCCCTTGTTGCTTGAGTTTGACCCCGCCTGACCCAACCGTTACTCAATGAGGCGCGAGCCGGGGCAAAACAGGCCTTCACCCGAGGTGAATCCGCCGTTCGGTGGATCCGGAACCTGGGCTGAGGTCTTCAATCAGTCTGATCTTAGGGCGTTGCAACAAGACTAAGCAGCTTTGTTTGAAGCGCCTGGTCCTGTTGTGTTTGAGGAGGATCTTCTATCTGGATTGTGGTGGCCAACGGAATATGGGATTCTCTAGCGACGTGAAACCTTCAGCATGACATACTAGCCTCTCTGCCTGTCTCCTTGGCTCTCTCTCTCTCTCTCTCCCTCTCTCTCTCTCTCTCTCCCTCGCTCTCTCTCTCTCTCTCTCCCTCTCTCTCTCTCTCTCTCGCTCTCTCTCTCTCTCTCTCTCTGTGACCTGCTCAGTGGAAACAGTGGGACCACACAAGCACTAGTGGCTAGTGAACTAGTGAATTGACCTGTTTAAACAGCAATGCCTTTGATAGTGGAAGGACTCCTTGGAACTCGTGACAGCATCTTGGACGTTACTACTCCTTGGCAGTTGATCCTTTGTTGATCGCCCTTTTGTGGCAAAATGCCTTTTTGAAGGTGTGATGTGTTGCAGGCTCACTGAGTACATCACACATCATACAGAGTGCGAAACACAAACCCCAAAAGCGAACAAGGCATCAAAGCTGCATGGGACGCAAGGGCGATTCGGCATCGCGGACAGGTTGACACCCGACAATGCCCTCAAATAAACCAGACTGGAGCTCTCATAGGGCACCGGACGGATTGGAGGCACCCCCACGCTGATATTAGTTCCGGACCTGAGCTGCACTGGGCACAGCCCAATTTTGGCAGGCTCAGTTGACTGTGGGAGATCCAACAATCTTGAATCAGTAGCATCAACATGCCAGCAGAGCAGGATCTACATATATTCAGAGGTATATATGGCAGGAGCCGGCTTTTGCTTC